GGGAGCTGGGCCCGACCCGCTGAAGTGTTGACCATTCCTGGCCGGCCACTTCAGCGTCATTAAGCCACTGCGCCACCGCATCCCCAAAATCTTTGTCTACTGTGATGTAATAAAAATTCTGTTCTGTAAGCATGAAACTTATTAAATTCATATTTAAAAGACATCAAAGATCAATCAGGAGATAGATGGGATATACAAACAGTAATTCTTTAACTTTCTCCTCCAAAAATGGAACTGTAGCCAGTTGTTGGTTCTTTTTATACAAAGTGTATGTGATCATTTGACCTCAAATGAATGTTCTGGCAATACCCCATATCAAATATTCATACAGTCTATAATGCTTTTTTCCTAAGCAATGTTCTGCAGAGTGCATAAAAGGAATGAGAAGTAGTAAGCTAAAGAAATTAAAGGCATAGGATAAGAAAAAGGAAAGGAACTGCTTTCTTTGCTAAAACTAGTTTACAATAATACCATGTGTTTATACTTTTCTAGCCTTGCAAACTATCCTTGTTCCCACCATGTCCCTATGCCTTTTATTCTTTAAACTTTTCTCCTCTCTGATTTTGAGAATATCATCATTTCATCCAATCACAACTTTCTCTGTATTTCCTTTCATTGGATCCATGTATTCTTTTTCATATAATTATATTATGACTTGATCTTCATTCACTCACCAAGGGAGAGCGAGACCCCTTACTTCATCATGCTTGCCATCTTTTTTCCTTAATGTTCATGTTTTATTGTAATTTCTTTGTTTGATTGTTGTGAGCCACCCAGAGTTGTTGAGAGTCAGGTAGCACACAAATTTAATAAATTATTAAATTATTATCTCTTGTTTACCACACATGCTGAAGTAACCTTATTCCCACAACATTCAACTGACACTATTGTTGTTGACACCCAACTATCACTTCCATATAACAAAGTAGGCAAAAGCATTCTCTTATACCAGTGTTGTCCAAACTTGGCCACTTTAAGATGAGTGGACTTCAACTCCCAGAATTCTAGATGAGTATGATTGCTCATAATGGTCATTCTCAGAAATGACGGCATTTAGATTTCTTGCTTATAGATTCTTTGTCCTCTAAGTCAAGCAACTGAGCAGTGCAATCTAAAATAAAGCCTTATCAAACATTAGTATAAGAAATGTTTGAGGTGATATTAGAGATGTATTGGCTGGCTGGGGAATTCTGGGAGTTGAAGTCCACTCATCTTAAAGTGGCCAAGTTTGGACAACACTGTCTTATACAAAGCCTTTTTTGCTTTTCAACAAATAATAATTCCTTGAAACAAACCACATACTACCTATCTTTCTATCAGAATTTCTTAAGGTTTTTCCATCCACTTTCTCCTCTTTGGTAAATATTCTGTCAAGGTGAGCAAATGTACCTATTTCCTCTACTTTCAACGTGTATGTATATCTTGCATTTATTCACTCCATTTTCCCTGTCAAACACAACTACCTTGGGTTCTGATACATTAATTTTAGATCATTAGTCCTTGTTTCATCATGCAGATATTTAATGATCATTACAAATGATTATGTTCTTAACTATTAACAGCATCATCTGCATAGAAAAGAACATGCACGTTAATGTCCTTAACCAATACATCTCTAATATCACCTCAAACATTTCTTATACTAATGTTTGATAAGGCTTTATTTTAGATTGCACTGCTCAGTTGCTTGACTTAGAGGACAAAGAATCTATAAGCAAGAAATCTAAATGCCATCATTTCTGAGAATGACCATTATGAGCAATCATACTCATCTAGAAGTGAAGCTGGAAATATGTGTTCTACGAGGTGGCCAGTTCCTTAAATCAGTTTCCCACCATATTGCTATAATCATTTCAGAATTATAACTATTAATGGGATAAAACTGAAAATTGATCACTTTAAATGGCTATATGGAGAGTTTGTCTTTTTCACTTACCTTTCTATGTCTGTCTGTATCCCGAGATTTCTCCCTTAACCAATCAATGGTATGAAAGTCTTCGTAAGTGCCAACATCAGGGAAAGGTTCATCCAAAAAATCCATCAGATTTCCAGAACCATTCATATTTCCTGCATTAACCATATTAGAAACTATAAAATGAAAAACAAAGAGCAGGTTATGTGTTCAGAATTAAGACATTAGCATTTCTTCTGCACCATACTTACATACTCATCAAGCACTCGCCTGCAAAGTGCAGGAAAGAAGAAGGAAACATAAGCAGAAGAAATTGCTTGAAATATCATAAAGTCTGCCTCACACACAGGTTTATTGGCTCCATAAGAACTTGACAAATGAGACTAAGATTTCCCCAATAGCCAATTTATTTTAAGAACCAATGTCCAGAGTAATCCTTGGTAAACTACTAAGAATTACTAACATATTTAACAAGAAATTGAAGGGACAACCATATACCCTTACTAATGTAATCAGAAAGAGAATTTACTGATATAGCAGCTTCATATTTTCTAAGATTCTACGTGATGGCTCAGAATTTCCAATAGGAAAGACACATAAGAAAAGGCCAAAGTTGTTTTTAAGTCATGCTAGAATCATTGAGAAGATGTGTATTTCAGTGGCCTTACTGATCAGCATGGGCGCACAAATGGCACTTCACATTTTGCAACATCTGCCATTTTTAAAGCAAGATTATGTGGATGCTAATTTTACATGACAGGATCCTAAGAATCATTTTAGGGCAGCCTGAGAACTAAACACGATTCACAAAGACAGTACATGATGAAGCCCGAAGTCCTTTGCAAGGGTTCTGTATTTTTGCTAGATAATATATGGGCAACTCAGCCTAATATTAATGGTGTTAAAGGTTTTTTCTCTCTCTTTCTCTGTTTAATTCAAAATCCTTCTTAAATCAAAGCAGCACAGTTTGAACTGTACATAATTCTTGTTTCGACATTGTTGGAGGTTTCTTCTACTCTTTGAATGCAGTCAGTACATATCTTTCTATGTCAATACAAAGGTTGAAAAAAAATCCAATTTCTTCTATGTTTCCAGCTGGTATTTTTGCAGTCCCATAATTCACAAACAGTAGGAGTGAAATAGTTTATAATGTTTTTCTTAATAAAGCTTAGTGAAAATCCTGCTTCAATTAAAAGAGATTAGGAAAATTCATATCAAATTATCTATAGTTTTATAATACATAGGCTGTCTATCAAATTATTTTAGGCAGTGTTAGGATGTTTTGGGACAATAGTTCTTAATTGTAAAAAACAATTGTTTTAGCTATTTCTTGCTTGCTTTTCATACAACATAATAAATTACATAAACTCACAAATTACTTGATTTAAAACAAACCTGCTGGAAAAATGCAAGTTGGAACATAGCCAGTTCCTTTTTCCATAGCAATTGTAACATACACTTTAAACATTCTAATAAATAATGTATCAAACATCATATTGAAAGTTAATTCCATGGGATAGGGCACCACTGAAAATGCCTTATTTCTAATACCTGCCAACTGGAATGTTACAGGATCTCTGAAGATTAGATTAAAACATGTGTCTGATGCACTCACTTGCATCACTATTCAGGATTTTAAACTTTTAAAAGTCGAGCCCAACTCTTAAATTTGGATCTAAACACACTTGTAGCCTGCCTACCCAGACTTTCTAGCATAATCCACTGAAGAGCCCATACAACACTCTAAGTATCTTCTGAGTTACGCCAGAAATTGAATCTCATTAACCCCAGTGATAGTAAATAAGGACCAGAAAATTATTTAGTTGCAGAATACACACCTACACACTGGGATGATAGGTATAGCCTCTTGGCAGGTTCATTTGAAAACTGTGACTGACAAGGGTTAATCACGTAGGGGATATATTATGAACCTGTTTTATACAGCTACTCTAACGAGCACCTCTGAGTTTACAAACAATGTTTTTTTTGGAAAGATAGGAAATTGGTCTATCTCAAGTCAGATGGTGTGGTACATCTTACTCACACTGGCAGTGGCTTATCAAAATTTTATATGACAACAGGGTGTTTTTTGCCAGCCTTAACTAATACCCTATCTATCTAGCTAATAGTCAAACCTGAGACTTACCTCATGGAAGAATGCACCTGCCTTGCAGTTATGGAAATTTTCCATTCTTCTTGAATTTTTGCTCAAATTACAATAGCAAATTACTAAATAGAAAATCAGTCCAAAAGAAAGCTCAGAAAACTCATTAAACTGTATGAAGCACAACAAATCAAAGTGTTTTTTTCAATATAGAGAGAATGCCATTTTTATTAGTCCTGCTGTTTTAATGTTCATTTAATGTCTCTGTGGACTTATTAAAGCATATTTGCTCTTGAGTGGATATAATAGATTAATGATTGTGTACTAATTGTGTAATTTTACAGATTGAGTTATTGTGGTATTCCTTGAAGAAAAAAATTATTAAATGACATATTAAATATGTTTTAGATGTGTGCTTAAAAATAAACACAATTTTTGTTTGTCAGTTGACCCAAATTATCTTCTTTGCCATGCCACCACAGCATATGCAAAACAGTAATCCTTCCTTGGGCAGAACTGAATGAAAGTGGTATCTATACAATGCAGTATCATGATTGGGACCAAGCCTAGGCTTACTCAGGATTGTACTCACTATCTTTGTAATAGAAGGGAATTTGGCAGGAGGGGCAGAAGGGTCTGCTTCAGCTGTCCAACATTAGACACATAATAAAACTTTTTTCAGTAACAAAAAATGAAAATTATTTTTTAAGCCTGTGATTTAAGGTTTTTAAATGACTTGTTTAAGTTTCACTCTGCTTGAAACCTTAAACCGTAGGTTTTTTGGAAAGGGAATAAAGCACAGTCATTTTTGCTTGTAGTAAAAAAAAATTCAGTGCTCAGACCCCTACATCTGAACATTTTTTTTCTACAAAATAGGCAAAATTATTAGAGGACTGCCTGCCTTTTTGACTGAACCACAGCAAGTAATTTTTTTTTTTATGCAGACACACCATGACCTTTTAAATGGTACAGAAATTGAGAACTCTCATTACTTTCTTACAGTTGTTTTTATTCAGTCCAGGTTGTGTATTATCTCATTCTTCAACACATTATAAAAATATCCCCCAAATACCTTAAGACTTATATCCTTTCACATAAACTATCCTGAAATACGATTCTTGATTTCCTTAATTACTACAAGGAAGAAACCATAAAAAAAGGCAATTTAGCATTTCCTTAGGCAAAAGGAGCAGCAAGCCATTCAGGTGAGGAAGATTTTTTGCAGTTACGGGCACACAATCAGCTCCTCAGAAGCAAATGAAACTGAATTTCCACATGAATTATGCCAGAAATTTGGAGCTGTATTTCCCTTAAAAACAATATTCTCTGATACCCTGGTATGTTGCAAAGAGCCAATTCATGCATCCTCACATAATAATGGATGGAATGAGAATATAGCTTCCTGCATGATAAAAAGGTCAGAGAATGTGCACTGACAGCTGTTTGTCTTTGTCAGCTTTAAGGCCCCATTTGACAGTATTGCTTTTGAACCTCCCATCAGAACATTTGGAGACCCAGCAAACAGCCTTTGCACCTGCTGCCTTATTTGTAGAAGCCTATAATAATTAGCTCTAGGAATTTTTTTTAAAGCCCTCCTTGACAATGGTTGATTTCAGAATAATAGTCATGCAAAGCCTAAAAAATAATGGAACCGAGCGTGGTCTTCTCTTACCCGCAATGCAACATCATTTAGTTCTGCTCTAAAGATCCTTTCTTCGCTGGTATGTCTGCAAAGGCAATGATGTCATGTAGAGGAAGCAGCTAGTCACATGACTGCATGCCACATTGGAGAACTGCTAGAGAGGCAGGCAGATGGGCAGAAGCTGGCTTCAGCTCCTTCAGGATTAAGCAGGTTACCAATTGTTCATTCATTTCAGAGCTTGCTGCAGTGAATGGAAGGAAGGAAGGAAGGAAGGAAGGAAGGAAGGAAGGAAGGAAGGAAGGAAGGAAGGAAATACTTTGAATTAAAAAGTATTCCTGCCCAGAACAATTCAATTTTCATTGCTTAAAATAATAGAAAGACAGCTATGAAACTAAACGGTATTTGCTAAAATGTGACAAGCTCACATCCAAGCCTATTTTTATTTAGGATTGTTTCATAATTCTCCAGGAAAAAAAGAAAAAGAGAAATAGGGCCTATTTGTATTTCCTGAGATGTTATATTCAAGAAGCAGCTTGTGATACCCTAACACTAACAAGTGTCTTGCACCGTAAAAAAGTTTTCCTGGACTACCCTCATACTTGGGCCATTATGTATTGGAAGTGAGGAAATTGTCACCAGTGGGGCCAGAGAGAAATGGAATGCAAAGTGTGCAGAACATTTGCAAGAGCAGCCTTAGAGTTTATGGTGTCTTAGTCACAGGTCCCACGGAATATTGATGTGATTAAGCTGATATATTTAATTTTTTTCTCAGATATCTCAACTTGTGATGTAGCCATGAAAATACTCATCATAATTCATAAATGAAAGCAAACAGCAAAAAGTTAAATGATGTTCTTCATCATATAACTTTATGATAAAGACTTCATCTTCCCTTCATGTAAGTTTGGAAGGGCTCTCAAGTACAGGTCATGGGCAACTGATTTACTTACTCCTACAGTCACTATCAGGGATTCAGACTACAAGTCTGCAAATATTTTGAAGGATTATTTTTACCATAACTAAGCTGAAATATGTAAACTTAGGGAAGGAAAAGCATGGTTCAGGTATAAAAGGATAACACTGGATGCACCCCTCATGTGTCAGATTACCCTGATGAAGTGTAGCTCTGCAATGTATAGGAACAACTTTCGTGTATCAGTTAGAACTGTCCCTTTGTTTTCTTTATATTTGCAACTTCTCATTCAGGAACTGGCATCCTAATATCCTAACCATTCCAGTTAGGTTCATGGCCATTGTAGTACAAAACTTCTGGAGAAACCAGATTGAACTGTCACTGCATAGAAAGCACATGTAGATGTCCAAAAGTTGCTAATCACTATCTTTTTTTTTCCTATATGGAATTTGTTAGATGGTCATCAAAACTAGTCCTTTGTGCCTTCCTAATGGCCAATAAACTTTTTCAACACTTGGGGTGGGGGTGGGGGGCACCACACACTGAATACCTGAAGGTACTTCTCTCTGAATGAACAAGCAATGATGCATACCTAAGTACACATTTGCAAATCTAGTCCTATAGTTCTGCACAGCTGACTATGTATACATTTAGTTTCTGTCATAGATAAGCACCTCATACTTCCTGTCCATGTATGTTGCAGAAATCAGACTGAACCCACAAGAGATGTACTCATATTGTGACATGTCGAAGGTGCATGGGGACATTTTCATTCTGGGAGCTTTTACAGAATATTCTGAAATGGATTCAGCTTAAAATGCATACAAAGTCTGATGCAAAAATGAAAAATTAATGTATTACCATTGAATTTCAGTGATGTGGTCTTCAGAGAGCTTTAGAGGTTATATGTGATTTGTGGACTGCCAGTCCTTTTCAATAGCATTTTTTAAACATATTGAATAATTTATATAAATTTAAAATAATTTCTAGATGGTTTGCATTGACCAAATTTTAGGTTGTGAGTGGTTTAATATTATCAGTAAATATTTATTAATATGTAGCCATTTGCAAGTTTATATATATGCACAGCTCTAAATCTAAACTCACACAATAGAAACAAAGAGTTCTTAGAACAGAATCCAATGTAAATAAAAGCGTGTGTCTTGTGACCTATTTACAAGGATTCATGCCTGAACTCTGACAAGAGTCCAGATAATCTGGTTCATCTAGGGCACTCTGTAGTTGATCCCTCACCATCAACAACTTTCATTAACAAAGGATGGTTGGAGAACACCTCTGGATCCAAAGCCCTCTTGAGGAGAATACCACAACTTCCTTCAAGGTTTCCAGCAATAACTCCTCTTACAAGGAAGCATTGACAATGATCCAGATCCACAGAGTACAAAGAAACCATGAAGGACAAGGGTCTAGACCACCGGTGGCAGAGGTCATCCTGGAGAGTACCTTATCCACTTTCTCAGAAGTTACGGGGGGAAAAAAACATCCAGACAACTTGGCAAGTTGTTGTCCCAATCACCACTGTAGATCCTGCCCAAAAGGAGTCAAGACACAAGCAAATCGGAAGGACTTTACTAGTGATATGCAGTGCTAACTGGTGATAGCAGCCCGGGGAAGCTCTTGGAGCTGCCTTCTTTCCAACAGGAAAGTTATCCTAAAAAGTGCTCTGAGATGACAGACTGACAATGCAATGAGAGAATCAATAGGAACATTTTGTCTCTTATAGTCACAGAGGAAGCCTGAACCTGGCCACATACCTATGCTTGGTCAGTTTCACTCTGTCCTCCTTCACCAATGCTCCTCACTTCTGCTGCTTCATCTCTTGGAGGTCCTCTAAAAATCAAGAGGCTGGCTGGGATTGGCCAACACAGAAAGGTTACTTAAAAGTGATTTTGCAAGGTCCAGTCACCTTTTGTGCCAGCCATGAACCAGGCACTTGATAGACCTGCCTGGCAGGTTGTCAGAAAAATCCCAAGAATCCACAGGGAACCATGTGGATCATAAGGGACCTGGAATGGACCATTTAAATGGCCCCAACCATGCAGAAGTAACAGGTAGTCAGTAATTGCAGCTGGACCAGGAAATGATTTTACTCTGACAAAGAGGTGATGGTAATACACTCCAAATCCAGAACACTATTCCAAAGAGAAAATGAAATCTAATACATAGCCACCTATGTGCATCAGCTTGAAGATTACTTGAGATAAGTCCATGGTTGCCATGAATTCCTGGGGCTTCCCAGCTCCAGTCCCCATTGCATAGAGGTTGAAGTTCTCCAACAGCAACTGGTGGAGAGTCTCCACTATCAGCCCAATTACCATATCTAGAAGCCCAGAAAAAGATTTGGTTGGGGAGCAGGAGGCTGGTACACCAAGATAACTTCTAGCTTGCCCGTACAGCCCAACACAAAAGGCAGTCACAGCCTACCATCTAAGAAAAAGTGACCCTGAATACGTTTCATGATAGATCAATGCCATACCACCACCCTGGCACTGGCATTGAATGAGGCTGACGTAGAATCTGAAATCCAGCTGGTAGACTTCCAAAAGGCCAACACCCCCACCTTCACTCAGTCAGGTTTTGGTAATGCACACCAGGTCTGCCCGTTTATCTATCACCAGATTATAAATCGGCATAGCTTTGTTACAGATATGGTGTTTACCAGCAACACCTTGAGGCCAATTCAATATCAGGTGCCCAGAGCAGGGCTACTAGCTTGGGAGAAAGGAACATCAAGTTTGACATCACCCTTTCCCTGAAAGAGCCAACCCAGCCTGACACTATCAGAATATAACAGCTGCATTCTCCACTCTCGTTACAATCTTCTTGCTCATCTAACATGGCCTCTGCTGGTTTTGTCTCTGTTCACACTCTACAGCAGTTAGTTGTACAGCTAACCTTTACTCTGAGTCAGCAATCAGGCAAACTTTCCAGCCCACCCCCTAACCAAACATTTCCCATATCCCATACAACACATCCCAATTCCTAACAACCTCCAATACATTCTAATCCTATAATGTGTATGTAGCATAGTACATAGAACATCTCTTGCTGGTCCTGGACACTAACTACTCACATGACTCACTTGCACTGTGAACCAGGCCATCCTCACTCCACTCGACTCTCACCCAAGGGCTGCCCCACTCTTGATTGAGGAGAATATGCCTTCCCACCAGGCAGCAGCAGGATATCTCAGTATCATATAGCAGACACATTTAAGGCACTGGCATCACAGGAAGTTTCAGGAAACCACATCCCACTACTCAAGTCCCACACTTACATGCCACCAGTGATCCTACCCTATCCCCACTTCCAACAATCTGAATGCCCCACACTCCACTCTCTGCTGACTGGCAACTTTTCAGGCAGCTCTGTGGCTGATCTATCCACGCAGGTGGTCAGGAACTTAAAATCCTGAACTGCCCACCTTCCACCAATCCATTTAAGACTGTCAAATTGATCACTTCATTAGGGAAGGCATCTTTTTCCTGGAAGGTCTCAATCCAGTCTACAAAACATCACTTCCCTGATTCTAGTCTGACTCTGCACCTTTCCCCTTTGTTGTAGGCCTGGGAAATGGAAAATATTGCACCCCTCACTTCCATTCCACCATGGTCACCGCTGCCACTTCAGGTCCAGTCCATGGTCTTAGATGCAGTGGGTGCCTTACTCTGCTGATGCCAGTCCTACAAAGTAGACCAGATCAGGAAATCAACTCCACAGGAAGGAAGGAACTACTTTTATTGAGATTGGCTATAACAGAATCTTGCAAGTCTCATTATACTATACCCCTTCCCCTTATACTCCAGTGAATTAGGGAGGTGTCTGCCTGACTTAATATTTCAGCCCCTTTCACCTAGGTAACAATTCTTGCATATTTCCTTCAAAGTCATTTTCCTTACCGTCTACAGTCGCTGAGTCAGGGAGGAACTAGCCTAAGTCTCTTCCTAACACCATCTCCTTTCCCAGGGCTGAAGGAATGCTACTGTCCTTGTTTCTGTAAGAACTTCTGAATATTTCCTTCAAAGAATATTTCCTCCAAAGCCACATCCATGGCTCTCTACAACTGCTTAGCTGGTTCTGTTGCCACCCCAGTACCACTATCATACCCAGTCCATCAGGGCTTTACTTCCCACTGGTGTTCAGCAAGTAAATCCAAAAATGGCCACAATAACAGCCACCCTATCTTTTTACTTGGCTGTTGCCACCACTGTTGTCTGGTTCCGACTGGTTACTCTCTGATAGTGGGATTGACACACCTCACCTCTACAACATTATCACCACCACCGTTGTTCAGCTTTACTTCCAATCTGCATTCTTTCCCACATCTTCCTGGTCTCTACACAGACTACACAACTTCTTTTACTGGCTTGGCAAGCCTTGCCATACTAGTGCCTTTCCAAAACCACCTAACCCTCCAAACTATCTCTCCCCCCACATTCAAACTAAGCCACCAAACATATCTTGCCTCTCACCTCTCTATATCCCTATCCTTATCTCTGATGCCATCTTGGGAGGAAAACCCTACAAATTGCAGTAATATCATCAACCACATATACCAGGTTTAGGAGAAACTGAATCTGGAAGCATGTTAGCAGAACCATTTACAGACCACATGGTATAAGTATTCTTTGGAAAGAAATCCTAACTTTGGACCGGGATCTTTGGACATCCTTTCCATAGAAGATTACTATTAATTCTAATAACAGAAAGTCCTGATCATGATGCATAGCAATATATTGATTTCACAGATAAACAAAGTTGAATTTTGTTTATCTGTGAAATCAATATATTGCTATGCAATATATTGGACAAAATACCAGCACTGTATAAAACATTGTGCATTCACTCCATAATCCACAGAAATATGAACACAGATCTTTGCTCTGAATAATTAAAGCAGCCATGTCTTTTGCTTGCCTGACATGGTTGCTTTGGAAACTTGTCCTGGCTGTATTCACATGTGAAATAGCTGAAGATAGCTTCTAAAGCAGCCATTTGTGCCTGGAAAAAAAATATGTGGTCATTCAGCAACTCAAAAAGAGGTATGTTACTGAACAGTAATATCAGCACTGTATAAACATAATCTTGACAAAGAGCTACTATATAGGAGTAAAACCACCAAAGTAGTTGCTGATCTCAGGCAACTTAGCATCCCTTCATTCTTACCTATACTTACCAATCAACTAAAGGAACCCAGAAGTGGCTTTCACAAGGCAGAATGGCTGACATTATAAAAATGAAGGATATGAGGGCATTATGCAGAAAGTGTTTTTATAAGCAATGTGACAACCATGTGTATGTATGTATGTGGAAATTAGTCATTGTCACAACCTAATGTGCACTTTGGAGTATACACAACAAAAGTTTAACGTAGCTAATTTAAAACAAGTAAAATTCTTTATATGATCACTTGTTTTGCATTTTTCTAATTTTTAATAACTATATAAATATAACCTAAAATTAATTCTAATGCTAGTTAATTATAAAATAAATGCACAACATGAAGACTTTATATCAGTTTTTTTAATTAATATTGCAGAATACTTTTAAAATACAAATGACACAATCATTCAGAAACAATGACAGTGTTAAGGAATGAATACTGTAGAGCATAACATACTGTAATAGTATTCATGTGGGCAGTCATATTCTTATTCCCCCCAAACAAATACTGAATGTATACTGCATAATGACTACAACTATAACCCACTAACATCTGGGATCCCCCAACACATTTTCTGTCCAAATACAGTGCTATACCATGTATTCCATCCATAATACACACAAAAGCTGGTCATAATTTGTCACAACAGATGACAAAATTTATTTATTTATACTGACTGCTCTTCATCACAAACAATTAGTATGACCCAGGTGACAGGCAGTGCTTTGCATCAGAAATGATAACTCCCCTGGAGATTGAAAAAAAACAAGAAAGCCCTTTCTCACCTATGTTTTTCAAATGCATTAGAGGCCAAATATATTATGTAGCAATGTAAAATTAACTCATGACAGTTTGCAGAAAATACTGAGTTTTATAGCAACTAATGGATAAAACAATTTTAAAGAATTTTAACTTTTTAAGCACTTGATCACCATTTTTTTATTACCCTCCTAATCCAGTTCCACCCATTTATTCTTGTATGTTTCTGAGATAACTTTTTTCAAACAATTTTTCAATCTGCTATCACATCCAAAGAGATTCATTAGATGACAGTGCTAAATTTTATCATTTTAATTATGCCCACCAATGGAAAAGCTTACAACATACATCAGGGATTATTTGATTTCACACAGTTCATGTTAATTTAACAGGCTTATGTTGCTATACTCTGCTTACAGATATCATATTAGGCCAGTGAATTCAGTGGCTCTTATATTTCAGCACTGCTGAACTCTTTAATCTAGACTTTAAAATTTGCCCAATATAGGGTTTATAATACTGTAAGCCTCTCAAAGTCCAGCTCTATAGAATACAATTTAATGGTTATTGTTTCATGATTTTAACATAAAGCACAAATTCCAGACTCGACAGACATTGTTGGTTTATTTTGGGGTTAACAACTTTGTTATCTAGCTTCCTTACATCATTGTTTGATTTTTAACCAAAACAAAATTTTTGACTTTATAGTGTCCTATATTAAAATTGCATTTCTTATTAACATCCCCCAAAAGTAGATTTTTATATTATATAAGAGCATAATTATTTGGGTAACTGAAGCTGAATATAATAACATAATAAACAACATTTCATACATTGCAAGACATAAAAAGTGGCTTTCTCAGGAATTTAAGGTGACAGATCCTTAACTATAAAAAACCTATGTCCAAAAACCCTAAAAGGATTTGTTTTCTCCCAAAGCAATTGCATATAACTGAAGAGTGTATTGCTTTCTAAGATGACGAACCGTTGTAGCTCATATTTTTAACATCTCTACCTTGAGTGAAATTTTCTCAGTTCTTTTTGAGAGTTTACACCACTGAACAGCTAAAATCACTATTAGCACTGGGAAGGAACAGTATTTAAAATTTCACATGAAACATAAGGGCAGAAGAGGCTGCCACTGTTATAAAAATTGGGATTATAATTTCTGTATCTTGAGAAAAATAAACAATATTAAAGAAAATGTAAAGCAATGAACCAAGAAAAAGAAAAGGCCATTTAAGAATTTGAATATAAAAACATGTAACAAATGTATTATCAGGATAGTGGGATTTTTGCAGAATATTAGTCTTAATTCTAGGAATAGTCCACATCGTACTTAAATTTTGTATAGCAGCAGATATGGAATTCTGAAAAGCCTTGTCTTTAATTAAAATAAACAAATAAGCTTTTATGTTTTCATTAAAAAGATGAGAAAGTCTGAATGCATAAAAGTGATGTCTATTAATGGTTCTGAACTGAAAATTTTAGACAATTTGGATTTTTTATTTTGGATTTGTATTTTTTATTGCATATAATAAAGATATGATTAAATTACTGCCAAAATTCACATTATTTTCCTGAGATGCATTAATTCAATGTCTATGTGTCACAAGCTCCTCCAGACTGGTTCTATCTCTTGATATAACTCTTGGTTGTAATGGTTAAAGATTATGGGAGATCAAATCTAATACATCCGGAGGGCATTGAGTTTAAAGACAGACACATAGATGTCTTCCTTTTCTTGGATTCTTGAATTTCTTGGAATACTTGGATTCAGCATGAATTTAAGCTTTTTGTGAAATGGTGAAGTTTGGAATGCAAGACTTAAAAGGAAATGTATGGAAATCACAGTCCTATGATATTTGAAGTTTTTCCTAAATGAGGTCCAGACTGGTTTCCAGAACAAACAGTGAAACTGTCCACATATTATATTATTCATATAACACACTCAGAAATGTTTTCCTAAAACAGCTAGAGAGAGATCTGTCACCTTCTTCCTTCCTTCGTTAAACCAAAAAACTAGTTAAAGTAACAGATACATCTGACACAAATAAAATAAGAACAATCTACTAGTGCACAATAAGAACATGCAGTCACACTCTGCAATGTTTCAGTAACATTTTCACTTAAAAAAAAATTGCAAATGATATGTAGCTAGAGACAGTGCCAAAAATACATGTTAGGTTGTAAGATACAGACAGTAAAGCTGATTTAAAAGGTAACAAATTTAGAGTATTTTCAGTTCAGCTATCAGAAACAAAACCAGCTCAATGTTTCCATTCTGCTGTATGACAAATACCAAGTAACAAAATTTATGTCATTTAAAATACATCTTAAAGTAAATATTTTCCTTCAAGGAAAACACATTACTATAAATAAATTACAATACAGTGAATTTGCCTGAACTCACTTTGTTTCTGCCTTCCAGCCTTTAAAAATCAAATAAAACAGCAGAAAACAAAAACAAAAACAAAAAACTTACACACTCTGACATGATAGTCTTTTTTTTTTTAATAAAAAATAAGTTGTTTTCAGAAAAGTCAGTTTCACAACAAGGAAAACCCAAGCCTTGCTGCAGTCACTATTAAAAAATATATGTGTATAAGTCTATCTGTGTCTGTGAGGTGTGTGTGTGTTTGTGTGTATATATATGTATATTTTTCTATATTTTTTACAAAATGTGTATATTAATAATCTTTGCACATTTTTTTAAAAAATAAACTTAAGTAGTTTAATAACTTCATTTTAAAATAAGAAAAGGCAGATAAATACTTCATGTTTACAGAGCAACATGTTATACATCATCAGCCGGCAGAGGTGGTACGTTGATCCTTGGCCTTGTAAAGAATGCCATCTTCTCCCTGTCATATGTGGGAAAAATATTGTACAACTATTTCAGTACTTATTTTAACTCATTTAACAAACTATGGGCAGAATACAGTATCATTCAGGTGGCTTCTGGCTGTGCAAACCTTGTATTTTTCCTTATAACTCTTCTATACTTTCAAACCTCTCTTAATGGATCCCCTAGCTCTCTACAGCAGATCTGAAAATCTACCAAGGGTACCGGATAACGGAGACTTTAGGCAGAGATGTTTAACTTATCTCTGATAAACTGGATATTAGGATGGTGCTTCACTGGGAAAAAAACCCAAAGGGGCTGAGCATACAAAGGCGGGGGAAAACACCTGAGACCATCTCCTAAAGTAGCCACATAAACCTAGAAAAAGGTAACAATTTAAAAAAAGGTGCTTTGTATGTGGACCCACATGTCCCGAATTATTCCCTGTGAAATATTTACATAGCCCCACTGGGTGCCATCTTAATTATGTCAGAAACTGTACCCATCACATTTACATAATTGAGTATATGTAATCCATGAGGCTTTTAAGAATTCAGGGTTCATGAATGCAAAATGAGAAAAAAAATACGTTTCAAATTCCCAAACGCCCTCCCTACAGTTAATTTTTTCATGGTTTATCTCTATCTGGGTGTGCATGCGCTGTGCACATGTATGACAGCCAGTAGATTAAGTATTGCACAAGGACCAGGGGCGGCCCAGGATTAAGTTTACCCCGACTGGGTGACTTTGGGCCAGTCATTCTCTCTGCGCCTAAAGTGCCTGAGTGGATTCTTGTGGAGAAAAATAAGCAGAGGAAATTTTATATACACCACTTTGAATCCTGCATGAAATGTAAGATATAAATATGGAGAGTGTGTGTGTGCGCACATGTATATATTGTTTATACTGTATAAAAATATCATTAGCCAAATATTTATTTCAAACATTTCAAATTCATTAGTTCTTGTAGCTACAGTATGTCTTTATATACAGTATAAATTTGATTTTATATACTTTATTGCTTATATTTTAAAGTAGAAATACAGCATGGTCAAATGTGAAAATGCACCATGTCTGACAAGAGCAGTAGTCTAAAAGTTTTACATCTATTTTTATTATCCCTGCGATTAAGGGAGGGACTGCAGTTTTTCTTATGCCTGGTGATCACTAAGGTGGCAACTCGTATTTGGGCTTTATCACTTCAGACTACAAAAGAAAAGCCTTTTAACTGTTTATCACTCACTATTATTACAATCCTTGTCATAAAGTCTATGTACAGAAAGAAATAGTATGTGCACAAGAAATGAAACAAATGTTTCCTCTTTTCAATGAATTTGATGAACATAACTATCAGCTTATTTAAATAGTTTTGAAATAATTAAACCATTCTTAATATCTTACCGAAAAGTCTGCACCTGGAGCGGTTCCTTTTGATTTTGACCACGCAGCTGATATACTTCTTTGGAAGCTTTTTTAAGCAATTTTTCAGCTGCTTGTTGTTGACGATGCTCAAATTTTGTTTGCCTTGTCTAAGAAAGCAATTTAAATAAATAAATAGTTTATTTATTGAATTTATACCCCAAATTTCTCCTTGTATAATAAACACTAAAGGTAGCTTACAGTCATTTAAACAAATATATAAAATATAAAACATTACCCCACATAATCAATGCAATCCATTTTTTTGAAAAATCAGTATAATTACAGTGGGGCAAAAAAGTATTTAGTCAGCCACCAATTGTGCAAGTTCTCCCACT